AAGAATTAGGGGGAATATTAGTAGACATAATTTCTATATAAATTGAAAATAAATAATTAGATGGAAAGTTGAGCGGTTGAAAGATGGTATTACTATGTATGTTCAAGATCATTGACATTAGAATGGAACACTGAAATATTGAATAACTACTTTAAAATAATCAAGTACATTATTAGGATTATATAAGTTTGATTAATGTAATAATTGACTGTTGTTATTTGTATTAATATGAACCATACCCAGAGGCCACACTGTTCATGTATTGATGTTGATATATGTTTAAAAATAAAAACCCAATAAACTTGAAAAAAAATGCTGTAATAATATAATGTAATTCATGCAGCAACAATATTCAACTTCATATCAAATAATTGCCAGCCAATTGTACAATTTAAAAACAATAATGCAAGGATATTTAAATTGTTCCAAGATTTAGTATCAAGATTTTCATATTCTAAATCTGATGTGTGTCTTTGCCAAAGAAGTTCCCAGTGTCAAGCATTTACCCTCTACAAATACAGATTGGAGTTGATTGTAAAAAATGGCAGTTGGTTATGTACAGAATCTAGTTCTTACAAGGGAAAATATTTAGGATTCCCAGTATTCAGGATTTCCAACATTCTTGACCTGTTCCATCTTGACTCTTTGAATTTCATATTAAAATTTGAGCTGATTTACCACAGACTTCACAATTAGACTACATAAGATTATGTAGATTACATAAGATTACAAAAATTACATTTACCTATACAGCTAAAACTAAAATGCATCATTTCAACTGTTTGAAGATGTTTTGTTTTTTCTGAAGATATAAGAAAGCTGTATCCTAATTGGCTATATCCGTGTTGGCGAACCTATGGCACGCGTGCCGGAAGTGGCACGCAGAGCCATTTCTCCGGGCACGCGAAGCCATCGCCCGTTGTTTTTCCGGGTTCCGGTACGCCAGTCATCTGCTTTTCATGTGCACAGGCGTGCCGGAAATTGGAAGAGCAGCCGCCCATTGCACATGCGCACTCCAGGAAAATGATCTTCCGGTTTCCAGAGTGCGCATGCGCACTGGCCAGCTGGTCTGGTTTCTGGAGCGCATGCGCACACAAAGACCTGCAATTGGCGTACGTGCCAAAAGACGCAAAGAGGGAATCCCTGTGGTCACTTCCTAAGGGAGCAGAGCGAGCTGTGCGAGCTACTTGCGCGGTCTCAGGTGGTCCAGACCACCGGTGGACCAGCAGCCTTTTGCCCATGCTGCTCCCCCAGTCAGAAGGGGGTGCGGGGAAACACACGAGGTGGCCGCGGTTGCTGCCAGCCAGGCCTGCCCGCCTTCTCCGGTTGGCGGGCGGCTGAGGCTTGCAATGAATGGTGCAAGCAGGACTGTAGCTCCGCCCCCGGGCTGTAAATGTGCCTTGCGGGAGCGGAGGCTCGGGAGTGTCGAACCCTCCTGCCTGCCTTACGACGGGCCTTTCCAAGGCAGGGCTGGGCTCTCCAACCTTGGCAACTTTGAGAACTTTGGGAGTTCTCAAAGTCCACAAATCTTAAGGTTGCCAAGGTTGGAGAACCCTGTTCCAAAGGGCGCCTGCAACCTGCGACTGAAGGAGCTGGAGTTGTGGCTGTGCCGGCTGGCCCATCCCACCACACCCCATTCGGCTCCCTTCCCCCCAGCCGCCCCCTCCCGCCATCGGGCTCGGAGCCTGCAATCGCACCAGTTGGGAATCATCCGCGCTGCCGGCGGATCCCGGGTTTCCTCCTCGCGCTCCGAGGGACCCAGCAAGGGAGCGCCAGGACCCCTGCCGCGCTGCACTCTCCCCCGAGGCAGCCCCGCCTGGACCGCTACCCGGCCCGGCGAGCAGAGAGCGAAGGGGCGGCGTCTCTGGCCCGGCACCTGCTCTCTGCTTGGAGGACCCGCTGGGGCAGCTCGGCTCAGCACCGTTCCTAAAGACAGCAGTGGGTCCTCCAAGCAGAGAGCAGGAGGCGGCTGGGGGGAAGGGAGCCGAATGGGGTGTGGTGGGACGGGCCAGCCGGCACAGCCACAACTCCAGCTCCTTCAGTCGCGGGTTGCAGGCGCCCTTTGGAACAGGGCTCTCCAACCTTGGCAACCTTAAGATTTGTGGACTTTGAGAACTCCCAGAGTTCTCAAAGTTGCCAAGGTTGGAGAGCCCAGCCCTGCCTTGGAAAGGCCCGTCGTAAGGCAGGCAGGACGGTTCGACTCTCCTGAGCCTCCGCTCCCGCAAGGCACATTTACAGGCCCGGGGGCGGAGCTGCAGTCCTGCTTGCGCCATTCATTGCAAGCCTCAGCCACCCGCCAACCGGAGAAGGCGGGCGGGCCCGGCTGGCAGCAACCGCGGCCTCCTCGCGTGTTTCCCCGCACCCCCTTCTGACTGGGGGAGCAGCATGGGCAAAAGGCCTCTGCTGGGATGGGTGAATGGGGTGCTGGCGAGTTGTCAGGCAGGGCCGAGAGCACTGCCGCCGGCTTGGGAACAGCTGTCTCGCTAGGGTAACTAGTTGTCCTCCAGTAAGAGGCGCGCCGGCCCTCTTGGAAAAAGTGGGGGCGCATGCGTGGCAGGCGCACACATGCACAGTGAAGGTTGCATGTGCGCATGTGCAGTGTGAGGCGCATGTGCATTAGGAGCATTGGGCGGGTCATGTGCACATGCGCAAATGGGGCGCCCATTGCATTATGGGTGCTGGCACGCGAGAGCGCGCGAGGGTTTGCGCGCTCGGACTTTTGGCATGCAACGCCAAAAAGGTTCACCATCACTGGGCTATATTATCTACCAATTGAATAATTGGTTTTTCAGAGTGCTATGAAAAATTTACTCTGTAACGCTATGGAAGATGTCTTAAGCAACAAGAAATGGCTTTGATCATGAGAGTTAAGAGTGCAAGTTTCTGAGTAAGGAAATGGTGAACTAGATGTCTCCAAAGAAGTACAGTAGAAGAGACTCTGTGACTAGGATTGACAGACCAGCAATGAGCCCAGTCTAAAGGAACCTCTCCAGTTAAAGAAGCAGATGAGTGATCGCTTACTTGTGCTCTAGGCAGCAGCTCCTCATGAGGAGACTGTAGAATAGCAATTTCCCATGGGATTAGTGCCAAGAGATAAAGAAAGCTATCAAGTTTTCAACTGTGGCATGCCTTTATGGGCAGTAGGTTTGTTGAACCTCACATTGTAAACACCTTTGAAATGTAAAGTTGAAAGAGATTTTCAAATAATGAGTTTGAAAAAACTACCTTGTGAATTAACCTTTCTTCCAGTACAAAATAAAAATGAACCAACAGCTTGAATAATTTTTAAAAATTGAAATAAATAGCGAAAAAGCTTAATAATAATTCAATCTAAAAAAATTACAGATGAATTAACCAAACAACTTTGGAATATTAGGACTTTTGCTAACAGTTTTGGGAAATAATTAAACCAAACAGTACCCTTATGGGAACGTAAATTGTAATGTATTAAAAAGTAAGCAAGCAATAGAAATTTGAGATTTTCCAATTTTAGAAATAAAACATTAAACAGTAGACAGAAGAAAGGAGAGGGGAGAAAAAAACCTATCTTTTTTGGAACCTACAAAATGACAAACAATGCTAAAATATTTTGAGACATTTTGGGAGATTTTAAAGGAAACTACAATGTGAGCAACAATGCTTGCTTTTATGGATGTATTGTTTGCAAAAGATTTTAAAGAAGAAATAGAAGACCTGAAAGAGAATATTTTGTAAGACTGACAGGATAAAAGAGATAAACAAATATTACGTGATGCAGATACACTGAAAAATAAATTCTGAATTATAAGACAGAGATGACAGACATAATGGAAATATAAATGTTGAGACAAGAGAATGACCTGGATGACTTTATTACTGGATTTACAAATGAGAGTTGATAAAAACTTGAAAAAAAACTTTGAAATGAAAGAAAGAAAAATTGAAGAGAGATGAAGTCATACAACAGCTTCTGAATGAATTAAGGACTAAGATACAGAATCTTAAGGAATCAATAAAATCAAATTTTTTTTTAAATTTGATTTATATGCCGCCCTTCTCCGGAGACTCAGGGCGGCTTACAATGTGCTAAGCAATAGCTTTCATCCTTTTGTATATTTATACAAAGTCAGCTTATTGCCCCCACAAACTGGGTCCTCAATTTGTTTGATTGGAGTAAAATAATACATATTTTTATAAAATCCCGAGATTTTATCTTTTTTTTATCTTTTACAAACTTCTTGCAGACATCTGAACTGAAATATTAACTGTTCATGAATTTATGAATGGGCAAGGGATGGTTATGGGAAGAAGTGATCCATGTATGTAACTTTTGTGGAAGATGGAGAAATGCTACATTTGTTAAACACGCGATGAAGATTGGAATTCATTTCTTTAAATAATGCTTTTTTAAAACTCTCTTTTCCTTTTTTTCTTTGCACATTTTTTCTTTTTTCAATTTTCTCTCTCTGATCTCGGTTTGTATTTTGTTAAAATCCTTAATAAAAAATTATATATTTATATAATTATATAAACATAAATGGCTTTGATAATCACAAAGTGCTTCTGGCCCTATTAAAAGGTAAAGGGAAACCTTTCGAACTGCTAGGTGGGCAGGAACTGGGGCACGTTCCTGCTCACCTAGCACTGATGATGTTACCTAGTTTGGGTAATGAAACATCTGTAAGAAAACAAGCAAGCTCAGAGAGCACCAAGGACCCCTCATGCCAACCCTGAGGTACAAATATTCTCCTTTATTAGTACTGGGGCAGGTAATGGGAGTTCACCCTGTTATATGGAGGGTGAGTCTCTAACCCAGGATGTCAGCTCTCCAACTCACAAGCTCAGATACATTTCATCTATTTTCATCTATGTCCAGAAATTATATCAAAAATTATGCTTGTTTTGAAATAGTTCTTTATTATGTAATAGAAATGTTGAGTAAATTTGGGTTTGTTATTTTAAAAAAGGAAGAAAGAAATATAGGCTGTTGGGAATGTAACAGTTCTCTCTTTTGTCTTCAGTGCATAAATCTAGATTACTGTAAAAAGGGGCCTGTTGTTCTCCTCGGAAGTGGTCTTGACCCAGATCAACAGCTGCTGTTAAGCAAATTGGCCACAATTTTGAAGGTTAGAGTATGTACAGAGTTTAACAGTTCTGGTAAGTTGTCAGCTTTATTTAATAAAATAATACTTTATTTTTTATCCATAAGTCTATACAAGATACAGAATTATATAATAAGACAAGGGTAATAAGGTACAGTAAAAGGCAAAACTAAGAGGAAATATAAATTTTATTTCTGTGTCACCTCCCATAGTTTGGGGAATGTAGTACTGTACTGTTTTGTTCACATAAAGGGCCAAAATATGCATAACATTTGGGTTCTGGATGTACATGAAATATATTGTGTTAACGTTTGGATCTCAATAGGCCATTTGTTTAAAATATTATCTAAGATAGTGATCTCTATCTTTTTTACACAATTGGCTTCAAATAATGTATGAGCTATGTCCTCTGCAACTGGAATTCCACCAATACACGTACATTTATCATAAGGAACTTGGTTAAACCTTCCATATTTAAGAATTGTGTTCAGTTGCTCAAATCTTGCTTGAGTAAATATGTCCCCACCCAAGATGCTCAACCATTTCAGTATTTAACCATTTTACAAATTATATTTATATTTAAAGTGCATTTATAGCAGCTCACTCATTTTAATGTGCCAGCCTTACTGAGGGAAGCTATATTTGTCTTAGCTTCTATATGCAAATTTTTTTTGTGTAGCAATTCTGACTTGTTTTGCTGAGTAGCCCAAGAAATAAACTGTATAAACCTCATCCTGCAGTTTATACATTTTAACAAATTCTCATTTTAGTGACGCATGTTATTATTCCTGCATATCCTGTGCGAACTACTATGAAGTGCTTGCTGGCACTTTTATCTGGATGTTGGATCTTGACATTTATGTGTAAGTAATTTAATTTGGGGGTTATTTAAGAGAAACATATATTTGAGGTGATGGCACAAAGATAACAGGAATGTATTATTGATGCTATTTTTCAACATACTTCAACACTTCTCAGAAGCAATAATCATAAAATTGTGCAAAATATTTTGAACATTTCCAAGCTTACAACAGTTATTCCAAGCTCATGGCAGGATATAATGTGTATTCAACAGTTTTGTTTTGAGAGCAGTATAAAACATTTTTATATTTATTGTAATTGATTATCAAAAATGCTTAACGATAGCAATAAACAAGATTCATAATATGCTGATTTTCCCATGATAGATTAACAGTATTATGAAAATTAAATGGGTGTGCAATTTAAAAAAGTAAATACCTATTCACAATTGGCTAATACAAAATTATGTTACAGAATTCTTATGAACCCACTCTGCTGTTGATTTGTTAAGTCCTGACTCTTCACCCAGGAGAGGTAAAGCCTACTTGCAAAAACAAATTACAGGAATACACATCAAGAGTAGAAAATTGGCTCATGTTGTTTGGTATTTTTGCCATATATATCACATGTAGCATTCCTTTCATTATAGCATCTTCTGCCAACTGCATTCTGTACTTCTTTGTACAGTAATATGTTCTTTTTAGATTTATGAAAAATATCCCCAATGACTGAAAGGCAAATTAATATTTGTATTTAAATTTGTATTTAACAGAAAGTACAAAAAATGGAAAGAGGGACACTTAACTAAGTCGGAATATCAGCAGATAGGCCAAATCTGCCCAAGATGAAGTCAGGAAAGCAAAAGCTCAGAATGAATAAAGATTTGCAAGAAAAATTAAAGATAATTTTAAAAAGTTTCTTTCAACAGATAAATAACAATTTAAAAAAGTCAAGGAAACAGTTGGTCCACTAAAGAGAGAAGATGGCAAGGAAGTAACAGGCAGTAGAAAGAAAGCAGAGCTGCTTACCGTATTTTTCAGAGTATAAGACACATCTTTTTACCCTCCAAAAGGGGTGAAAATTTAGGTGCGTCTTATACACCGAATGTAGCCCTGCCCACCCACTGGCCCCCACCCTTTGGCCTGTGCCTCGCAGCAGTTACCTTCTTGCAAGCAAACAGCAAGAAAAAACAGCCCCTTTCAGCTTCAGCATAGGTTAATTAGCACAAGTTGATTAGTTCGGCCTCCCGACTCTCAGCCGATTTGCTCTCAGCTGTTTTGGGGAGGGCTCTCCTGCTTGCTGCAAAAAGTGCTGGAGCAGATTTTTTTCCCCTAGCTATGCTGAAAAAAAAAAACTGAAAGTAAAGCAGGTTCTTTGCTGCAACGTGACAAAATGAGGCAGAGAGAGATTTCTTTTTCTTTTTTCTCACCAAAAAACATAGGTGCAAACAATGGGAAATTTAGAGCAAAAGAGGAGAGTTCAAGATTTTAAAACACAAAAGAAAAAAAGCTCTATTTAACTAGGGAATTGTAATAATTGAGATACTATTAATTGTATATTGTGTTGAAAGCAGAAATGGTTAAGTTGTGGTTTGGAGGAATATATGGGGGAAATTATTTGGTTTATTATTATTGGTAAATATAATTAATTGATTTGTAAGAAATTGGATTGCATGGAAATAATTGGAATATTCATGTTCATATTGATTAATATACAAAAAACAGTTATAACTAATTGATTTATATTAAAATGTTGAATTTGTATTAAACAATTGTAATATTAAATAATTAATCAATGTGAGGATGGATATAAAAATAGATGACAATGGGAAGGGGTATAATATAGAATAGAAGGGAAAAATTGAATTTGATTAAGATTAGAGATGAGGATGAAGGGTAATATTGGTTTTTTTAAAAAAAAATAGATGAGGAATAAATATGGCAAAAAGGAAATATAGAAATTGTAAATTTAATTGAAATGACTAAACATTGTTTAAATTTGTGAACCAGCCAAACACTCTGTTCAAAGAAAATATATTGTATGTTTGTATGTGTGTTGTCTAAAAAATAAAAAAACCCTTTTTTAAAAAAAAAACCCCAAAAAAGATAGGTGCATCTTATACTCCGGTGCGTCTTATACTCCGAAAAATACGGTAACTCATTCTTTGCATCAGTCTTCACACAAAAGAAAGTATAAGAAAGTTAAGTATATATCACTTAACATTAATGGATTAAACTTTCCCATGAAAAGGAGAAGACTTTACAAAACTGCAAAAAAATGGACTTAGACATAATTTGCCTACTAGAAGTTCATATCAAAAGACAATACAATAATTTCTTAGAGTACCCCAAAATTGGGAAATTATATTCCTCGTTGGCACAACAAAAGAAAAGGGGGGTGGTCTTATACATCAAAGAATCAATAAGAGCCAAATTTATATATGCAGATGAAGAAGGGAGAATATTAATGGTGGAAGTAGCAATAAACCACAAACAGGTACTCTTGACAGTAATATATGCACCAAACAACAAGCAAGAAGACTTATGGGAAGCTTCAGGAGAAAATTGCAGAATTGGACTATGAAAATATTTGTCTAATAGGAGATTTTAATGCAATCACAGATGTAAAGCTAGATTACAGAAGTAGTAAAATAAATAAAAAGGCAAGGAAAATCTTACCAAAGTCTTTCTTTAAACTGGTGGAGGAAATGAACCTTCAAGATATTTGGAGAGAAAGAAATCCGGAGAGAAACCAATACACATATTACTCAAATAGGCATCAATCCTGGTCAAGGATAGACATGGCATGGATGACACCAGAACTAAGTACTAATATACAGGAAATAGAAATAGAACCAAACATATGGGCAGACCCCTATTTAGTCAGGATCAAATGGAAAGGATATAAGAAAAAGGTGAGATGGATGTTGAATCAATACATATTAAAAGACAAGAAATTCATATAAACAATAGAAAAAGAAATGACATTTTTCTTCAAAGAAAATAGAAAGGAAGAGACAGATACAAAGTTTGACAGACGAGAAAGATACATTATAACACCAAAATGACAGCAAAAAAATAATTCAGAACTACTATGAAAATCTGTACAACCAAGAGGAATTATCGGAGGATAAAATAAATCAATATCTAGAAGAGGCTGGGTTGCCCAAAGTCCTGGAAGAAATAAGATCTACATTAAATGGAAGGATAACAATGCTTGAATTAATAGAGGCAATTAAGAGACAGAAAAATAATAAAACTCCAGGAGCAGATGGCCTACTGGTAGAATTCTATAAACAATTACAAGACTCCTTGGGACTAGTACTTCTGGAAGTTTACAATGAAGTCTTGCTAAAAGCTAAAATACCAAAATCCTGGATGGAAGCAAATATCACCCTCATACCAAAAGAAGACATAAATATATCCCAGATCAAAAACTATAAACCCATCTCACTCTTAAATATGGACTATAATATTTGTACATCAATAATAGTTGAAAGATTGAAGAGATTCCTGAATGAATTTATACATTCAGATCAGAATGGTTTCCTGCCAAATAGACAAATTAAAAACATGAGAATAATTTTTAACACATTAGAATACTATGAAACACATCCAGAAAAATAAATGGCACTGATGTTTTTAGATGCACAGAAAGCATTTGACAATGTAAACTGGCGATTCAAGATACTGCAGTTAAAATATATGGAATTTGGGGAAGATTTTATCAATATGATCAAGGCAATATACACCAAACAAACCGCAAAAGTGGATGATAGACTTACAATTGCTGATAAAAATCGGGGGGGGGGATTGTGTCTCTCAAAATGGACAGGGCAGAGCATTACTTAAGATTCTAAAATATAGAAGAAGAGAAAGGAGAAAACCTGGTGGAAGTGGTGACGGAGATACTGGTGGAAGTGATGGAGGAGACCAAGGAAAAGATACTAAATGGGATCGACAAGATATATAGAGTTCATACTTGATATGCAATGAGAAATAAATTGCCAAGAGAAGTGCATGTCAGATTCACCAGGAAAGCAATAAAATCAGAAATATTACAGGTAGCAAGAAAATACTATAAACACCAATAAAATATAAAGATAAAGAGATTGTGGTGTTGAAATAGATACCTAGAAGAGTAAGAGACCTGAGAAGACAATACCAGTTTTTGACTGTCAGGGTGGCAATTAATCCCGTTCCCCTTTGGGGTAATTGTACTTAATTAGAGATGGACCGTGGCTTTTCCTTGAAGTATACTTTAAGAAAATAAACCCGAGATACATTCTAATAAAACACATTTTATTATAAAGAAGTAAAAAGCAATCTTACTAGCTATTAATTACATCTTGGCAAACTTCCCTGCCTTACCTCTTGGCAGGCGAACAAAGAAAGTTAGAAGAGAAAGAAAAGAATGTGGACATGCACAGTAGTTTAGAGATAAGGTGCTCAGCATCTACCGTAAGTCTCAGAATGGGAGCCCAGCTGACAAATACAAGAACGCAGTGACAACCCCTTCTTTGTCAGTTGAGCGGACATCAGGTACTGCCATCAAATAAGGCACATCTTCTTACGCAGATACTCGTGTTGAGCTGCTGGAAGTGGTTTGTTGAGCATATCAGCAATTTGATCATGTGTAAACACATACTGCAATTTAACAAAACCTTTTTTTACTGATTGTTTTATGTTTTGATAACGGATGTCAATGTGTCTGGACCTAGAACCTATGAAATCTGATTCAGAAATATAAACCACCGATTCATTGTCTTCCATCACGGTGATTGGTCAGATCGGACGTGTCCAGATATCTGTGACCAAAGCATCAAACCATGTTAGAGAATTACATGCATCTGAAACACAAACATATTCAGCTTCAGTAGATGAACAAGAAACAAAATCCTGTTTACGCACTTGCCAGTAAACAGGACATCCATTTAAGAACATCATATAACCTGAAGTACTTTTACGTGATTTCTTATCACTCGCCCAATCAGAATCTGCATAACAACATAATTCTGCATAATCAGTATGTGTTGGTTCTAACAATAACTTCATATGTTTAATGTGTTTTAGGTATTTCAATAATTTCTTAACGCATGTCCAATGAAACTGTTTTGCCTTACCTACGTGTCGAGATAAGAGATTAACACTAAGTGCAATGTCGGGTCTGGTCCAACTACTAATGTACAACAGTGACCTAATAACTGAACGATAAAGTGTTTGATCCTCGAACTCAGGATTTGGTTCATGTGTCAAGTTATGAAAATCTGTTTGCATGGATGTCTTTGTTGTATTAGCATCTTTCATGTTGCAATGATGCAATATTTGTTCAATTTTATCTTCTTGTGAAAGACTAAACCCCTTCTGTGTTTTGTCAATCTGAACATCTAAATAAGTGCTAACATAACCTAAAGATTTCAATGTGAAATATCTCTGCAAGGCTTTAGCAAAATTCTCACTCATCTGCTTATTTGGACCAATGTAAACAATATCATCAACATAAACAAGAACTATCTCATATGTATTGTTAGATCTTTTTGTGAACACGCACTCATCAGTTTCGGATTTAATAAAGCCCATTGAATTTAGTTTGTCAGTAAGACATAAGTACCACATTAAACCAGACTGTTTCAGACCATTAAGACTTTTGTTTAGAAACCAGGTATCCTCTTCTTGCTGTCGGAACCCTGGAGGACCTCTCACGTAGATCTCCTCATCCAGGTCAGCATGTAGACAAACCGTGTCAACATCGAACTGGAAAACTTCTAAACCAAGGATAGTTGCAATTACTAAAGCAATTTTTACACTCTCAGTCCGGACTGTTGGTGAGTAGGTATTTGTGTAGTCCTCAGGATAACGTTGAGCGAAACCCTGAGCTACAAGTCTGGCCTTGTACAGTGACTCACCATTTGGCTTCTTTTTGATTCTGTAGACCCATCGAGTCCCAATGACCCTTTTGTTTGCTGGAGGTTTTGCAGGTGTAAATATCTTAAGTTTCTTTAGACTGTCCATTTCAGCCTGCATTGCCTCATACCACTTCTCTTGCTCTGAATCAGGAAGATGTTTGATTTGTGTGAACGTATCAGGTGGAAGTGTAACATTGCAAATCAAAGGCAAGGGTGTTTTTGTCAGTTGCCACGAATATCGCTGTGGAGGGATCCCCTTTGTGGCCCTCTTGGAACGTCTCAGAACAACAGTCCATTCTTCTTCTGTTTCGTCCTCATCCTCACATTCGGCGCTAGCGTCAGCATCAGCGGCTTGCGAAGACGGAACATCAGGTTGAGAAGAACCAGTGGATGGAACATCTGCCCGTGAATCTTGATCATCAGACTGCGTGGCATTAGTAGTATTGTCTCTAGGAAAATAAACTCCAGGATCATTGGAATGAATCCTGGACCAGTCAACATCTTCCTCAAAATTAGCAGATTGGGAAATCACAATTACATGTCTGGAGTCAATAAATTTGCTCCACTTTGAATTATCATCAATGCCCATAAATCTCAGTCTCTTTGCTGCTGGACCTCCTTTTCTTCTTTGAGCTAAGGGAATCTTCACCATAGCGTATGAACCAAAAATATGGAGCTTTTTGAGATCGGGCTTGTACCCATAAAACATGAAGAAAGGAGTCTGATTTATTACACTGCTCCAAGTACGGTTTACAATGTAATTTGCATATTTGATAGCTTCACCCCAGTATGGCATACTAAGGTTGGCGTCTTCTAGGAGACAACACATCATGGTTTGCAGTACTCCTTGCTGTCTTTCTGCGACTCCATTTTGAGCCGGCGTGAAAGGGGCCGAGGTCTGATGAAGAATTCCATTCTTACGCATCCAGTCCTGGAAACGCTGAGACATGAATTCAGCACCACGATCACTCTGGATTCTGCGATGCGAACTTGGTGTTGGGTAGAAACAAGAGCAGCAAAGTCTTTAAAGATCTGAAAAGTCTCAGATTTTTCTTTCATAGGATATACATATCCATATCTGGAGTAATTATCAACAATTGCTAGAAAATATTTTTTACCACCAAGTGTTGGCTTAAAAGGACCAACTATGTCAGTGTGAACCAAATCAAAAATGCGTGTTGACAGGCGTGTAGCGCGTTTTGGAATGGCTGCTGCTTTGGATTTGGCCTTTTTGCATACAGCACAATCCAAAAACACCTTACACCCATTTAGATCCAAATCTTTTGCAAACTCCAGCATCTTCCTAAGAACACGGAAACTGGCATGCCCCAATCTTCTATGCCACTTATGGATACACCTGGAATGCAAAGTTTTACCAGTTAGTGAATTCTCAACATTAACGGTTTTATTAGGAACTCCAGGCTTGCTCTGAGCAACCTGTTTTATTTTCTATTTGTTGGCTTTAGGAGCCTTTGGAGTAGCAACAGGATCTCTCTCTGGAATATCTCTCTCTGGGCCTGTGCTCTCCTCTTTTGGTATACTTGCCTGTGTTTGCAGTTTAGACTTTGGCTTTAAGTAATAAACACCACCAATTAACATGGTTTCAGCAACAATATCTCCATTTTTGACTATGTAACTTGCTTTTTCAAGGTGGTGAACCTGGAACTTTAACACTCTAGACAAGTGACTCTGACTAAGCAAATTACTATTTGCTGTTGGTATATAATAAACATCAGGAATGAATGCATCGAGCTCTTCAACAAAACAGTTCCTTTTCCTTTGACCTGACAAGGATGATTGGAAAAAGAATAAAGTTTACGTAGTTCAGGTTCAGGCTTGTGCATCTTTGTGAAAAGTTCCTTTTTGGAGGTAACATGCAACACTGCACCACTGTCCAAAGTCCACAGGAGTCGTCTGTCGTACTCTGGATGAGGTTGTGGATCGTTGGTTAACGCCAATGTGGCGAGTGGAGCTTGTGGATCATGCCTGGAACCACGACAACCTTGTCTTCCGCCTCTGCCTCCTGTGGAATCTGTTTCTCGGGGCTGGTACGAGACTGGAGCTGGAACTCGTTGGGGACAATCCCGGGTGGCATGTCCCACACGATTACAGATGTAGCATCTTGGCCTCCTTGGAACATAGGCTCTTCCTCAGAAGGGACGTCTCGCTGGAGCTCTTGATGCGAATGGTCCTCGCAAATGTGGCGTGGCTAACATGAGTGCTTCTTCTTCAGTTAAAAGTCTGTATATATGATCCACTGTGCGTTGAGCAATAGGCACTTGATTAACCTTTGTAATGGCATCTTTCCATTCATAATTCAATGAGTTAATAATAATGCTGATCATTTGAATATCATCAGTAAAATAGCCTCTTTCGCCCAATTCTCTTCTCATTCCTTTCAGTTTGGTTAAATGTCCTCCAATTTGTTCACTAGGTTTCAATCTCGAACCATGGAACTCAGACATGAGCAAACATGAAGATTCAATTGAAACAGGCCTGTAGCAATTTTACAGTTGGCCCCAAATTTGTTGGGCTGTTGCATCAGGCGGAAAAGTAACCTGCAGTTCAGTATCCATGGACATCAATAATGTCGTGCAAGCTTTAGTCTCTAAGTCTCTTATTGCAGGAGTCCATTGGGCAGGAGGATTAAAGACCATACAGTGGGTACCTTCTCTACGAAGTAACAATCCAATCTCAATGACCCAGGTCTTATAATTTTGTCCTGATCGCTTTAATTTCGACTCACCAGCTAGTGGAACAACAGAAGAGGCCTGGTATGCTGGCTGTGCCGGTAAAAATACTTGTTGTGCTTGTTGTGGACCAAAAAATGGCCCTGGTTGTGCGGCTGGAGGTCGCCTGTGGTGGTTGTGCTCCAGCTGCCAGTTGTGCTTGAGT